TTGGTGGTTTCTATGTTCCCCCAGGGATGTGGGCATTGGTGGTTTCTGTGTCCCCCAGGGAGTATGATGGACCCGTTTCCAGGTCCCCCCAGGAAGTCTGGGCCTTAGCAATTTCTAGGTCCCCCACAGCTGAAAATATCCCCTGGGGAGCAAACGACAGAAGCAGCATTTGATCTACAGTCCGCCCATGAGGGAGGCTGGGACCAGGCCATTGCAGATGGGGTGACTTCTGTGGCAAAGTGGGCTGCCTGATAGATGCCCTTATGGGCCCCCTGAGGGTCCCCTCCCACTGTATATCCTTGGGCTGGGGCCACCATCTCTCCAGGTGAGGATGACAAAGTAGGGTCAGAGGGCGCTGTGGGATGACTACAGGGACGCGCAGACCAGGAATGGAACCAGGCCTAGTGCTTATTTGGGTGGCTAATGGGTTCGAGTGGCTCTTTTTGGAGCCCCCCAGTGGCTAAAGATTCCAGCCTCTCTGGCTTTCTCACCCTGGGGACCTGCTCCAGCCAGCCGGCCGCAGCAAGGTGCTCAGTGCTCTGACATGTGGCAGGATCGGGGCCTAGTTCCTTAAAGGGAAACCACACCTATTATGGTTAGTTAAGTTAATGTGGGCACAAGAACAAATGGTTATAAATTGGCCATCAACAGTAAGCAGCTCACCTGAGAAACGTTTCCTGCTTTCCCCCAAACTGTGGGATCCCTCCCCATCCCGAATGATCTCTGAAGGAGGCCTTGGCTGGCCGATATCAAGCCTGGACCAATGACGGGTTTAAGGGCTGTCATCTTGCATCTCTAGAAGGGTAGAAATGGCAGCTTCCCCCCACTGGAAAGGGTCGGTGTCCAGCTTCCCAGAGCCAGAGCAGCAGGGCACGTGTCCCTGTTGCTTCCTAAAGCACTCCGGGAAAGGCGGCTTTAATGCCGAACGTGGGACAGGCTCTGTTTTGTGACTCAGGCAAGAGACGTGGCCCCCTTTGGCATCCAGGGTGACTCAAGGGGAAGGGTGTGCACTGATTCACCAGGACCGCTTCCTCTAGCACCAGGAGGTCTCGTAGCCAAGCACTGCTCAGCTTAGCCCATCAGCCACAACCCCAGGGGCATGTTGTGCTGTGACCTGCCGGGGCGGTGACTGGGACAGGAGAGCAGTGGCTTCTCTTTCAGCAGCGCTTTAACACCAGCCCGCTCACGGGTCCCGGCTCTGACTCTCTCTCCCTGCCTGTCCCTTCACAGCGCACAGGGCTGAGCCCCGGCTGTACAGCGCCCTGCCACCCCACAAGCAGGAGGAGGTGGAGCAGCTGCTGGAGAGCTCCAGCCACGGCAAGGACTGGCGCTGCCTGGCCAGCCAGCTGGGCTACGAGGAAGAGGCCATCGACACCTTCGGCCGGGGCGAAGCCCCCGCCCACACCCTCCTCTCCGACTGGGCCGCCAAAGAGGGGGCCACGCTGGAGGCCCTGTGCACAGCCCTGGCCGGCATCGAGCGGCCGGACGTGGTGGAGAACTTGACCGGCCCAGCGGAGGCCAGCTCGGTGGTGTAATGGCACGGGCAAGCCAGCAGGGGGACGCGCGCACCCCGCGAGAACGGGACTCGCTAGGAGTTTTAAATGGCAACAAAAAAAGAAAAGGGGGGAGGGGAACAAATTTTGTAAACGATAAGGAAACTAAAAAAAAAAAAAAATAGCAACAATACAAACAAAAAAGCCACAGAGCAGCGGCCTTTGGCAGGACAAGGTGCAGCACCATGATGTGACTGGCGCATGAGCCCACCGTCTCCCACCGGCGGTGACTGGGCCTGCGGGCGCCACGTGCCATCCCCTACCGGCGGCGACCGGGCCTGCGGGCGCCCCGCGCCGTCCCCTACCGGCGGCGACCGGGCCTGCGGGTGCCACGCGCTGTGTCAGCAGGGGAGCTATGCCTTAATACTAGGGCAGGTTCTTTAGCGCCAATGGACGAGACCTGGGATTCTGGAGCCGAAGGCTCTGGGTCCTCTCCCCGCTTGACCATGGGCTTGGGAGAGAGCCAGCCCCCGAGGTGAGTTGGGGGGTGATGCCCTACTGCCTGGCAGGGAGAGCGGCTGGCATGGCTGGAGAGGGAGGAGCGTTTGGGGGGACGGGTTCTCTGCCCCTTTGACTCTGTCCCTGTGCCCGCCCTGTCTGGGGATCCCGGCTGGCCTTGTCGTGTGGTTTCCTTCCGTCACGTGGCCATTGTAACCCATGGGGATTAACCATGGGCTTTCCCCTTCCCTGTGCGCCCTCTGGAAGAGCCCTCAGCCATACAGGAGCCTGTGGACCCTGACCTGCCAGGGCCAAGCCATTCGCCCTCCCCAGGTGGACTCCGGCCCCCCAGGCCAGGGGGTGAAGGGACCAATCATCGGGCACGAGCGTAGGGCACTGCTGTCTAACCCATTCTATCGCTGGAGCCCCCGCCCTCCTCTGTCACCCCTCCAGCCCAGGCCTGGCACCACCCCCAGCCAGCGCCTCCCCCCACAACTCACTGCACCATCCCCAAACCGTGTCTGCCCCCACCCCCCACTACGCGCAGAGAAACGCCTGTGCCAGGCAGGGACTGAATCGGGGCCCTCCTGGCTCCAAGGACCAGTCCCTGACTCAGCGTTTCCTCCCCACCGGCTGGTTTGTTTGGGGGTGGGAGTCGGTTTTCAGACTGTACCCCCCCTTGCAGCCAGTCCCCTCCCCCTCAGCTAACACCCCCTCCCCATCCTCTCTCTCCATGTCTAGGGCTTGCTCACTAAGGAAGGTTCCCAGAATCCTTTAGGGTGCCGCCCTAGTGCTGGGGCCTCATGGACGTTGCCTGTAGCCCTTGTAGGGGTTCGGCCCTTTGCCCTTGGGCCCAGTTGCTGGCGGGGATTGGTCCAGTGTCATATGGGGACTTCCAAGTGACCGAGCAACCCCCCTTTCAGCCATTGAGGGAACGGGGGTGGGGGAACCAGCCAGCCGCTCGTTTGGCCCTGCTGCCCCCATACAGCACTGCTGGTGATTTCCCCCACACACACACACACATGGGATTCAGGCCCCCCGATGCTGGGAAGCGCTGGCTGAGCCTGGCGCTAGGCGCTGGCTGAGCCTGGCGCTAGGCACAGGCCGTTGCAGTTTGGCATTTCCCCCAAGGTGCCAACGTCGTGCCGCGTGCCCTCCCCCACAGAATGCCTGCCCCCGGTGGGTCTCCGCCCACCTGCCTGTGGACCGAACTGTGCTCTGGGACTGCCCTGTGCGGCACTGCTTGGCATGCCGCCCCCTTGCGCCAACCCCTGCAGCCGCAGCCCGGCCAGCTGGAGCGGCCGCCAGCGCCACGGGTGTGCGCCGAGCTGGGCCGTTTCGGCTCAGCAGAAGGAAGGAACTGATTGCCCCCCTGCCCGTGGGCCAGCTGGGCGCAGATCTACCATCGCTGACGGAGGCCTGTGGTCAGCCCAGTCTCCACAAACGGCTCCCCTACAATAAGACCTTCTCCCCTCCCCTGCACTGGAGGAATGAAACTGACTCCCCCCCTGCCCCCCGGGTCTGCAGCGCTTGGCAAAGTGTGTCCGTCCCTCACGGTTGCCGCGTGAGCCCAGCGGTGCTGAACTGCCGTGGGAGATTGTCTGCGGCGCTGCGCCTCGCCGGGAAATGGAACCCACCTGCCACAGCAATCATGGCCCCAAAAGCTCGCCAAGTTCCCCACTCGGTTTCCTGGGCTCAGCCCGTGGTCAGAGGCTGGCTGAGTCGGTGACTGGAATAGCCTGCCGGGGCCAGACCGCTGTACCTCAAGCAGTAGCTGCCCCGCTCTGGTGCAGCAGGTCCTCCTAGGTTCGATCCCTAGTGAGAGCCCTGCTACCATCCAGGCTGGGCGTCCAATGGTCTCTTCCGGTTCAATGGCTCTGCTACATACTTTGGAGTCTCGGGGCAGGGAGGGTGTGGTCTCTTGGGGACCCCGTACCACACGTGATCAGCTGCAGCAGGGCTGGGCTAATGGGCCCTTCGGGAAGGACTAAGTAGCACGTGAACGCACATCAGCTTTAACCTGTAATCGACGCGCTCGTCTTCTTTTTCTTCTTCGTTTTAGGCCGGTTTTTGTTGTTGTACTTGACGTCTCTGCCTGCTCTCGTTTTGTACTGTTCGCCCTCTCGTTGTGTATGACGCTGCCGTGTCTGATGACATGGGTGTAATGCTCATGTGTTAAAAACAATTGCATTAAAAGTGCCATCAGTTGACCTGTGGCCTTTGGGAGGTGGGCTTTTGGGCAGGGGAGTGGGTGAGTAGGAGCAGACCAGTGGCCCAGCTAGGCCAGCAGCAGATGAAGCCCTGGAAGAGGCAGTTATGGAATAACCTGTCCCCAGGGAACTTTTCCTCCTGACCCTGAATAGGTGTGGTTGGTTTAAGCCCTGAAGCATGAGCATAACAGCACCACCCTCCCCCCTGGGTTAGTCCAACCAGCGACAGGCTCCTCCCATGGGAACGCCTTAGCGCTCTGGGATGGTGCATGGCCTGGAGGTGTGGCTGAGCCAGTGACCCACATGGCCCTTGCTGAGGTGGTGTTGCTTGTACATACAGGCCCAGCATTTAGCTTTTGTAAAGGCTCCCCCCCCCACACACACACACACCTTTCTAGGTGGAGCTGGCAGGGGGACTACCTGCTTGGGTGTACTGGCATGGTCCTGGTGTTGCAGGAGCAGACTGGTGCCCTGGCCTGGTTGCACTGGGCTCTAATGGTAACTGCTGCCCATTTGCCAGCACCCCACTGCCCAGCAGCGCCTCCCCCAGGCAGTCTGAAAACACTGCTTCCCCAGCCCCTGCAGCCGCCTCCATCCCAGCTGTGCGGAGGGGAGCCGACCGGGGGCCACTTGTGAGCGTGAACGGGGGCAGCAAGCCCTGGCTGCCCGCGCCCCATGGGCAGCTCCCCCCAACAAACAGCCCTGCCCCATGCCAGCCTCCCTCCTGGTGCCGCCATCCCCACTGCGTGGCAGCTACGGCGCAGCTGGCTGGGAACAGGCCGGGATGCCGCAGTTTCGGGCCCCAAAGGCAGGAGCCTGGTGGGGCCTCCTCAGCCCCGCCACACCCTGCTGGGGGCCTCGCACGCTGGCTCGGCCATCAGCCCTCAGCACACTGACTGACCCATCCGCCCCCGGGAGCTAGGCTTTAGAGGTACCTGTGAGGTCCCCTTGAGCTCTGGCATGCGATAAACAATAACCACTAGGTGGGGCCATGGCAGGGACCTCCCCTGGGTGCAGGGCGGGTGTCAGGGGTACCTCCCCAGGTCCAGGTGGGCAGCAGGGGCCTCCCTTGGGTGCAGTTGGGGCTAGGGGCCTCTCCCCCGGGTGCGGGTTGCCATCCCTGCTAGGGGTGTCCCTGGGTGCAGGCAGGCATCTGAGCTGAGGGTGCTCCCAGGCCAGCAGTCCCCTGGCACAGGCACCGCTCTGATGGACGCAGACGGGGCTGCTGCCCAGGTCCCCGCCCCTCTTTGCCTTTCGTCCTGCCTGACAAGGCTGCCAGCATTCCCGGGTCCAGCCGCTGCTGCATGTTGGGCTGACAGAGCAGGGCCGGCAGCCCCCGTCGCTGGCTGGGTGCGCCTGGGGGACGGGGTGCCACCCTCGCAGTCACAGGGCCAAGGGCTGAGCTGGCCTAATCTGCTCCTCACTGCGTCCCCAGCTTCCACCGAGTAAGAGCTCAGCGGTGGCGAGAGTCCCCCTCATTTGAGTCCCTGACCGGGAGGGTGCTGCAGGGGAGTGTCGCTTTACAACTCAGCCATAAAACCAAGTCCCTGCTTGGGCTGAGTCAGGAGCGCCTGGCACGTGCCCTAGGATCACCCCCGGCGCCCCAGCCACCTTCGATCACCCCAGGAGTCTAGTTATGTCCAATAGCACCTGTTCCTAGAGGATAACAGCTTACTACTACTGCTGGCTGATGGAGTCAGGCCGTCAGCTCACGTGGTGCCATGGAGGTGAAGGGCCTGGATCCAAACCCTGGTGCTGACCCAAACACCAAGGGCAGTGTGGGGGGGGGGATTGTTTAAGGGGTGCCCTGTCTAGGCTCCCCCGGGGGAAGCTTTCCCGCTCAAGCAGCTGAAGCTGACCTGTCCATCCTCGCTCAGCAGCTGGCGGTAGCTCCGGCGGGGGGTTTCGCGCCCCTGGCTAGCAGGGGAAGAGCGTCGCCGGGGGATGCGGCAGCTCCAGTGGACCATGCGGCTGCCCCATGACAGACCCGGCCCCAGTTCCTGTCCCAATGGCCCCGCGCCTTGGGGAAAGTGCTCAGGGCACGTCCTGCATGGGGCTGTGGAACGTGAAGGCAGCAGGGGACGCTAATGGGTCTAAGTCCCCCAGCCCCAGAGGCTGGGCAACGCCTGGGTCTCCTGTGCCCTGACCCCTGGGTACAACGGAGCCAGCGAAGAAGCCCCTGTGCCCACGAGGGGGCCGTGCATTGGGGGGCTTGCGAAAAGCCCGGCTGTGGAGCTGCGGAATTGGAGGCACAGTGTAGGCTGGCACAGGGGCAGGTCTTCACCTACGGTCCCTTCCCCAGGAACATTCACGGCTCCCCCCAGAAAACACACAGGGCTCGTGCCCTGCTGGATGGAGCCTACCGCAGCCCCTGTGCGTTATTAGGTGTATTCCAATCACACAGCGAGCCCGGCGATGCTCGGCGCTGTCCCAAACCTAGGCAGAGCCCAGCCCTGCCCTGAAGC